TGGATGGGGCAATAAGAAAGTTATTCTGCAAATAAACAAGGAATCCATGGAAAAATATTCTGCTAACCCAGAACACTTTGCAACGGCGCTCAAAACGCATAGCCTTCCAGTCTGCGATCCGCACTTCCAGCAATTTGGCCCAGCAGATATATGCCGACTCCAGAGGCATGGGGTTGGAGTTTGAACGAGGAAAGCAAGCCTTGGCTTCCAGATGGATTACACTCCACCGTGGCTTCCAAAGCGTGCAGCGAACTTGTGAAGTGTGGGTGTGTAAAAGCGAGAGATGGCGTGGTGACTGGAGTGTGCGTTTGGAGAGGAGTCACTGGAAATGTACGTAACTTTGAAGCTGCATCTGTGAAACCGCATATGTTTGAGCAGAAAGTGACTCATTTTCACATGTTATGTTACTGAGAGACACTTTATATTGACACTGGGTGTGTATGCTATTTCCTTCTGCGACTCGCCGTCCTCTGTTGTTACATTTAACTGTCTCGACATTGTGTTGCAATGTTGAAACGTGTTGCATAATGCGTTAGCTTGTAAACTGCTTGGATAACATGGAAGTGTTGTGGATCAAATGAAATCGATGTTTAATCTCTATCTAAATGTCATCACTTTGTTACATCTACTGTTTTCATGTAAAATATGACAAATAAAATATTCGTGACATTAGGTGGCCTACATTCAGGCAGAACATAATAATGTGTCTTACCAAAACATACAATTTTAGACCATAAGTACCACAGAAAATGCGGTGCTTTTGTCAGGTCGGTCCCCATCATGTTTTTATAAACTAGCAGACTATTCTAGCTAACAACCACTCACAAGCCTGTGCTCCATATTCAGGGCTGAAGTTGTCATTAGGGCCAATTACTTTAATGTCATCACACCTCATCATTGTTTCTTCCAAATCACAAGACTTACACCGCCAACACCTGACATTATTGATCCGCTCTTTCGGTATCCCATATCTAAATTCAGGTCTTCCCCTTGAATGCCACTGCTATGCTTTTCTTCGTAACCTGCTGTCTCTATTTTGTACACTTGCTCCACGCGTCAGGATCATGTCTACAATTTCCCTCTTGCTTTCTATTCTGAGCGTCTCAAGTTGCTTACCCTGACTTGGATGAAATCACGATCACATTCTCACCAGTTAAAAAAAGATGGAAGGGAACTCAAGTGAATACTTCACATTCACCTGAACTCAAACGCCAGAAGTCTCCATTCAAATACAAAATCCCTCTGCTGGTAAAGTTGTGAGAACCACAATCATAGCCACTACCATGTATTACGATAAATGTATGAACTACCACTTAAGGGGCCATCTATGAATGACGTCACGCACCTGGGGGGGGCGGGGTCAGACATTTGTGACGATGTGTGACGGGGGGGGTGAGAAATGTGACGTCACATCAAAATGCGCAACTTTAAATAAATATAGACAACACGTTCTACTTAATTAAAGTCTTTTTAATAAATGTTTTCTCCTACAACATCAGAGTGCAGCACCACATTAAATACGCACTACAATGGCAATAGTTTAAAGCGATTTGAAGCTTGTTTTTTTTTGGGTGGGTTAGAGCTTTGTGACATCATATTTGAGGGGGGCTTGACTTTTTGTGACGCCACGTGACGAGGGGTCAAAAATCGTCCAAAATCGCGTGACGTCATTTATGGACGGCCCCTAATCCTGTCTGTTCTGCTATAATGCCACGTGTTTTCATTACGCGAATTGGATATAACGTGTTTATTGTATTAGGGAACACTTTTTTATAATGCGCAGATACCATGTCGCGCGAATAGGAATAAGCAGTTGTACAGCTGCCTCGGCGTAGCATCGGACAAGGCGGGATGCTGCTGGATGCTTCTAGGTGTAATCCACGCGCCTCACAATTTGTTCAGCCTGCATGCGCATCTCACGTATTATCGGTGACTGTGCTTTATCCTATATATTATTCATTATAACGCGATTTTTCCATAACGTGGTGTTCTTTGGGAATGCAACTACCGCGTTATAGGAGAACAGACTTAGTTTTTTATCCAGTCATAATCCTGAGGAAGAAAGGTAAAGCATATTGACCTCTTATGAGGGCGTGGACTCGTAGCTGGTACCATCTTGTATTCATTAAGTCGGTTTCCCTGAAGTCCAGGGGAAGGCTGCTGTAATCAATACAAAATGAGCTCATTAAAGAAGCCCCTGCCGGCTTCCCGGTTGTTGTGTTGTCCCGTACTCTCTGAAGTGTAGTTGTGTACTTGGTTACTAAGCTATTGCTATTTAAGGTAACTGAATGTGGTACTGAAATGGCTGCAATATGAAACTTAAAAGAGTGGTGGCCAGTCTTTGCCACGGGGACCATTGGTGGTATATACTAAAATATAGTCCCCCTTTATTTACTCGCCGGACTGAACCCCCCCCGCCCCCCCACCTTATGCAAATTTCACTCAATGCCCTCTTTTCTCTCTTCGTTTGCTTCTGCCGTCACCTCCGGTCCCATATCCATCTTCTCCTGATTTAGCACTACTAAGCTTCCTGTTTCAAATATGGGTAGGAACTGTGGCACGAACGAAAGAATACGTCTGCGAATTATGGAGGTGTTTTAGATTACTGAGCCAAATTTAGCCAATGGCTGCCAATGGAAACCAATGGCAGACAATTACCAACCAGTGTAAATTGTCGATTCCATAATTGTTGCATGTGAATTGTTGCATCAATTACAAACAAGCACAACACCTGCAACCCATGCTCGGACCCATGCTCGCATCAACACTCAAACCCATGCACAGACCCATGCTCGACCTCATGCTCGTATGTGTTTGTGCACATACAGTGTCTGTGTGTATTTGGTGTGTGCGTGTATACGTACGTTTAATTTGTGCATGTGTGTGTATGCATTCTTGTGTGTATTTTAACGCGCCGTGTGTGTGCATGTATTTGTGTGTGTCTGTACATATGTATATTGAAGTTATTTCGCATCGCAGATAGCCAAGTGCTAATCAGAGGTGCGTGTGTATATCTTCGTGAGTAATTGTTTGCCTCTGCTTGAGTGCTTGTATGTGAGGAGTGGCAACGTGGTGGTTACTTCGTTCCACTACTAACCTGGCCGCCCGAGTTCGATTCCTGCTCACAACCAACACCAGTGACAATTGAAGCAATTGGCGGGACCCCGGGGTCCCATCACTGCCCCAGGGTGGGAAAAACCGCGTAGCGACACGAGTCTTGCCTTACCGACAACAAAACTAGTGTCAATCGATTGGCCTCATCGAGAGCTACTGGGGGCACTAAGTTTCGTAAAAAGTTGAAAAATTACATAAACACGTTAAATTCACTGCGGGGACGGGCTCGCCTTGTCAAAGAAGCTGAGGATCGACGGCTGACCGGAGGGTGTTGTCGCCGCGCGCGACTGCGGCAGACTGAAAAATAATAATTATTGACCTGATTTTGGCGGGACCCCGGGGTCCCGCCAATTGATTCAATTGTCTGGACCTGTCCTGGGCCTCCCCTGGGTCAACTCAGCCTCAAATTAGTACATGGTGAGATGTGTAAACACCACCACTAGAGATATAAAGGCGGTCGGGCGTGGTGTTGGCCACCCACCTCCAAATGTGCCATGCCGGCTTCCATAGGCGCTCGAGCAGCACTTACCCCAACCTACCAATGCGTAGATTCAAGCATGGCTTCGAGGACAGGTTGAAGCTTCAAACATGGCTTTGAGTGTGGGCTAGAGCATGAGGTTGAACATGGGATCAAACATGCTGGTTGAATGAGCGTGGGTTCAATTGAAATTACATCTGTGCGTTCATGTATTCATGACGCGTAGTCAGCGAAGGACCGTTTGCACCAAACGTGTGCGACCTCTTGCGACAGCATTTGCATAAACTGCTTCTTGATGCCATACACCGGCGTCTCGAGTGAGTTGTTTGATCCACGGATCACGGGGGGGAAATTTGCATGGATTCACGATTGCCACTCTCCATTCTTGTTCAAGAACTCCTCATATGGGCCAAGACACGTCACATTATCATAATTTAGTTTCTCATATGTCACAAATTAGTTGACTTTCCAGTGCCCATGATTAAAGCAGGGTTTTCAAGCGTGGTGTATTGATTAAAATAACAAATCAAAAAGTTGAATATTTTAGGGTAAAATATTCAGAAACGATAGTTAAAGTGAAGAGGCACTACAAACAAACGTGCGTGGATATAAAACGCCATTCACTATGATGACAAGAATTAACACCCTTTTGCCAATCCATCGCTGATTAAAGGCCTCTCTCTGCATGTCATAATTTTGTTTTGGTTGTAGTTTGACCACGGTTTGATACGCTGATCATTGCAGATTGACCAGCTTCATTTTGTTCATAGCGCATTCACTTATATGAACAATACAATCCCTAAGTGTGAATATTTGATGATTGTAATTCAAAAACACTACCAATATTGGTAACATCTGAACAAGGAACCAATTAACTTGTTGAAAACTCACTTGTTTTCATAGCCATTTTAACATTGGCACTTCTGAGGCGAGCTAGTACAGGACCTTCGTGGGAGGTGTGAAATTCATACTCTCAGGTTACTCAGGCTTTCACCTACATGTAACTGAATCCATACACTAGCTACTTTGGCCAGCTGGAACGAAACCATGATACACTGGTCTCACAAGGTATAAGACTAGCTCTGGCCCAAGCAAGGCCAGATGCATGACTAATGACATGGTCATTGCTTTTAATTTCTTCTTTCACACCTATGTAGCCAACCGTGCTAATCGGAGGTGAATGTGAAGTCAGTCAGTACACTTTGAGAACGCAGCATCACCGTGTCACTACCTCGCCTGGTATGCAGGAGGTCGTGGGTTCCATCCCGACCCCGATGCCTGTTGTATATTCGGAGATTGCATGTTCTCTGCGTGGTCGCGTGGACGTTTCTCTGGGTGATCTGGTTTTTCTCTCCACATTTAGAAACATGCATTTAGAATATTTGGCGCCGTAAATTTGCACTTGATAAGCCGCTTCGTTGAGCTATAATTTGTGGCCAGGTCACTTCTGAAAAAGAGCTATATAGCTCAGTGGGCTTCACCTGGTAAAATACAAATAGTTTATTTCTATAGTTTAATGTGGACCATCGAACAGGAAAGAGGATTTACCGACGTTTAATAGATTTTCTCAACAAAGTAAAGTAGTCATTTGAGGTTTTTGTCTTAGGTTTTGAGGATTTACCTGTGGAGTTCAGAAACTCGTGAGTGTTTCCACCTCTGGACAGATGAGGCCAGGGTCCAGTCTTGTGGCCACACATTTATTTAATATATATGTTTCAATGTTCTGGATTGGCTCTGGCGGAAAGCGCTACAATGGCACGTTATGTATGTATGTAGAATTTATTTCGCACTGTACGAAGCCAACTGTGCTAATCGGAGGTGCGGGGGGAAGGATAAAAAAAATGTATTACTTCAACAAGAGCGAAATATTTACCGCGTCGTGCTTTAGCGCGAGCCCCATGCACTGCGAGTGAACGGCTCTGGTCTATCAGTCTGCACCACGTCGGCGCTGCCACGTGCTGTCTCTCTCTCTGCCAAACGCCACTCAGCACTAATTGGCCTACGGTCAGGGCCCATGATGTAGAGGGTGGGGCGTGCACATGTGAGCTGTGGGTGGAGTCCCAGTGTCACTTCTGCTGCCGTCATGGCTGTTCAGTCCAAATTAAATTGTTCTTTTAAAGGGTTTTAAATAGGGGGTCTAAATTTAGTTCCTCATAAGATACACTGTGCCACACTACCTGTCAAGTCACTGCATTCCAGATATACGATGATGCTCATTCATGCAGAAAAGAGCATCTACATGGCATTAGCATAGCCTCTTGTGTACGTCACTGTCATTGCCCGAATTCTAAAAGTGTAAGTCGTAAAATTACCCTATGTGCCAAGTCGCTTTTGTCTTGTTTGCAAAAGAAGTGTTGAAAACAAATAACATCTGTTGTAGTCAGGGTGAATGGTACTATGGCAAAGTGCTTGACTCCTAATCGGAAGGATACAATTTTTTATTCAAGTTGAGGTTGTAAACTCGGCCTTTAATACATTTAAATAGGGCCCCTGCAATGTGAATATTGAATTTCCATTACCCATCTGAGCACACAAGCACTCTGACTTTTTACTTGTCTGAACTGTGAAAATGAATAATGAAAACTTTCATGTAAATGTGAACAACCCGTGCACTAAAAACACCAATCGTAGCGTCCCAAGCCTGGAGAGCTGAAATATATTTGATTCGCTATTGAAAAGGACACTTGAGAAAGATGTGACATGTAATACACATAACGGCAGATTTGATTGTTTGTCCCATCGTTCGGCACCATTTGGGTGTCCTCAACTTCAGTATAATATTAATCCACTCTTCTAAAAGTCCCGCAAATGCAATGTTCTCGTCTGCAGTGATGTATGTTAGTTGCTGATGGCAGCTGGGTGGAATATAATTTTTTTTCACGCTACGGAATTCCTTTCTATTTGGCGAAAGCGCGCAGTCTAGATGGAGAACTTAACCGAGGTCTCTGTTCACAGAGTGAAAGAGCAGGGTGCCCAATTTTGACTCAAGACATTGAACAAATAAGTCTGTGATGTCAAGCTCCAAAAATAGACTGGTCATTATCACGGAGTGGCTTTTCATGTCGGCGTGGAGCCATGCAACTGAACTATTTTGCCGATGAATTAACAACGCTGAGGTTTGCTTGACCAGACTTGTTGTTGTGGTTACACGGGCTCATTTTTCAGCCAAACTGAGCTCTTTTCGGAGCAAAGAGACGTGGGCAACAAGCTGTTAGCATTCGGCAATATCGCCTGTGCAAAATTCTACAGGTGTTTGTCGGTGAAATGTGCTCATTTTATTCGTGTTGCTGAAAGCAGAATACATATTTCACTTCAAGAGACCATTCAGACGAAGAGATGCGTGTCAAAGTATTTAAGTGCAAGGGCTGTTTGGCAGCAAATTATCTTGGTGAATTTCCTCAAGTCCTTGCAGCCAAGAGTGCAAGTATGGACTTTTCGTGAGGCAGTCCAGTGTCTGATTACCAATGAGTCATTTGGCTTAGGAATGAACCTCGACAAGCACTAACTCCCACTCTACACCTCTAAATGCAATATGAAATGCACTTGAACGTTGTAAAGGATCAGTTGTAGTTTAGAGAATAATTTTTTTTATAGGTTTGAATAATATCAGCTTCCTTACAGAATTTTTGGTAAAGATATAACGCATACAGATGTAATGACTGTAAGGATCATTACGGTTATAGCTGCATTACATAATGCTTTATTGTGAAGGGGCGTATCTGGGGTAAAGGTTAAGGGCGGTGTCAGTCGATAAGCTCCGGGAACCATCCCAAAAGATCTAGTAGGTTCTAGAAAGGGAACGTGGCCAGAGGTGGAGCTTGGCCACGCCAGGCAGATATAAGGAGCACTGAACCAGAGCTTTGGGGCTGTTAGCGTGGGATCTGGGTCATGGTTGCGTCGCTGCTCGCCGTCATCTTCGTCTTCGACCATGTGGCTGTTCTTCTGCAAGACCTGCTCCATCTTCGCCGCGATGCTCGTCAACCAGCCAGCGTAGCACAGGACGGAGAGGGGATGCGTGTTTAGAGCAGCCTGGGTGTAGCCGCGTTATGAAGTGTATCGCCCTGTGTGCTCTTAATAAATAAGAAGCCTTCTACTAGATGTGTGTCGGAAGTCGCTCACTACATTTGGTGTCAGAGTGGTAACATTATTTGTATTTTTCTCATCAAAAGAATAAGTAGGAATAGTGAGGAAATAAAAACTATGTCGAAGTATCAGAAGAAGCAGAACCCACCTGTGGCGTCTTCCGACGATGACAAGACGCTGGACCTCCTTACAGCCCCGGGAACCATGCTCCCAGTTACCCAAATTGCGGCAGGAGAAGTGGCAGCGCCGGAGACGACGGGACAATCGACAGTTTCTCCGCAGCAGCAACCCGAACTTGGATGGCGCATCCTGTCAGATCAGTTGGAGCTCCTGCGGGCCACGCTCGCGCAAATAGTGGAGCCCCTGATGGCGACCACGTTGGCGGAGCTGATTGCACGTACCGTACCAGGTGGAGACGGCCGACCGCCGGAGATTGAATAATGGCCGGAGGCCGCAATTACGCACAGCGTGGGAGACGTGCGGCCAGGTGCCGTCATTTCAGAGCACGGGCATGATTCGCCGGAAGCGACGCCTGTTACTGTCGACATAGCAAGAGGATTGGAATGGACCTGCCGACAGCCCCCCTTGAGGCAATTCGTTGCGGTAGGGGGCGATTGGAGCGCTTTTACGTGGCGCTTCGAAGCGGCTTGCCGGTCAGCGAATTGGACCGAGGAGGAAGCGCTGAGAACTCTGCCCACGGTGTTGGATGACGACGCACCCACTGTTTTCCGGGCCATACCCGTAGGGAAGAAGATGACATTAAAAGATGCATGCGCCGAGATGGCCGAGGTATACGAACCACCTTCCGACACACGTAAGAAGTTTTTGCAGCGGAGGCAAGGGGAGGCTGAGACGCCTACCGCAGCGCGTTGTTGACAGTGGGAGAGGCGGTGTTCCCCACTGTAGACCCGAAACGCCATGACTCTCTGGTGATGTAAAGAATGTTGGGACTGGTGTGTGAAATGGGGGTCATCTTGCCGGTCATTGATGAGGATGAGCAGACGTCCGGATGGGCCGCCGATATCTGCAGGCCCACAAGAACTTGCGCCGTTGGTCGCAGATGGCGGCCTGGATGGGCGACCCCGGCCGAGATGGTGAGCCAGTTGGGTGGTCGCCAGAGCACATCGTGAATCAGCTGACAGAGGATCTACCAATGGAGGGTGACGCCGCAGCTGCAGTCGCGACATGTAGTCGCGGACAGGGAGAGGTGCCGCGGCGGTCACGGTACTGGAGGCCGCGCGAGGAGGAGGATCATTTATGATGGAGGGCCGCACTTACCTGTTTCCGCTGCGGCCAGCCGGGGCACTTTGCGCGAGGATGTCTAAGCCCTCGTCAAGTTCCGACGACGTCTCCGGCGCACCCGGCTCCATTGACGGCTGCATCCAAACCCCAACAGGCGAGTCGCAACACATCAGACACTCGGCCTGTGTTACAATCTTATGCATCCATGCTTATGAAAGCCATCTCCACCCCGCATTGCCCTCGCGTTGCCGCCAGGAGACAGGGATCGGTTACACATGGTTGGCCGAGCTCGAGGATTCAGTGGCTAAAGTTAGCGCATCGGGTTATTGTAGCTGCTGCGGGGGCCTCGGTTGTGTCGGGTTCTATCTATGGAATTGAGGTGCGAGTGTTAGTTGATACGGGTGCTTCCACCACCATCATTTCGGATGTGATTTTTGACCTGTTGCTGATCAGGGACCGGATTGTTAGGTCGGTAGTGAATGCGTGCATCACGGTGAACGGAGGTAGTATGGGGATTATAGGGCAAATAGAGGCCCGCGTCAAGATTGGTGAGATTTCAGTTGTTGGGCTGGTACTGATCTCGAGGACGCTGGCAGTGCCCTGCCTTTTCGGCAGGGATTTTTTTGTGTAATATGTCCCTTAAGATCCTCACTGATCAGGGCTGTGTGGAGATGCCATCAGTCCGCAGACTGTTTTTTTTTTGCGGTCTCCACACAAGAGTACGGTTGCTAATGTTATGGTCCAGGTTTTTGCCAAGGAGTCGGTGCATATCCCGCCGGGATCGAAGATGTTGGTGCCGCTGCACTATCAAAAACGAATACAGGCAACGGACCTGCAACAGGCGTCTTGTTGACTGTCGAATGCGGTGACTCGGGGATTGGCACTCGTTAGCGCATAGACGGTTGTCCGCCTCAAACAGAAGCCGTTCTTGAAGGTGCTAAATGCTGGACCAGAGACGGCTGTGCTTCGGGCGGGAACGGTGTTGGCTTACGTGACAGCCGCGTTTCGTCAAGGGAACAGAGTTCCATGCAAGGGATTGTTGGCGCGGTGGAGAAGCATGTCGGATTTGATGACACGTGGGGAGAGAAATTGGATATATTTGGTAAATGTACTAGTTGTACGTGTGTGTCGGGTGGGGGGCGTTGTGCACCTTCGGCGGCGGATGCCCTCTCTTGTTATGACAAGGGTTGGGAGAGTGGAGCCCGATGAGGAGGTCGCACCGAGGGATAGTGTTTTTCTCCTTTCGCGTACTGATTGACCTTATGGCATCATGCGGAAGCTGGAGTGAAGGACTCTGCTCCCTCTGACGGCCTGCGACCGGTCCTAAGGGATGGTGTTTTGATGATATACGAGGATGCGTTTCGTGGGTACCGTTTCGTGGTACCCGCTGCCGTCTGCGGCAAGCTGACTCGGGGGTTGCACGAGAACAATTTGAGACACCCGGGGGTGCGGGAAACCTTGCTAACGTTGCAACGCAATTATTATTGGCCGGGGATGTCGAGCTACGTGCACGACCTCATTCAGGGCACGGGATACGTGCGTAGGAAACCGCTATTGGAAAAGTCACAGCCTCCATTGCAGTCTATTTCGGTTTCGCACTCAACATCCTCGTACCATTTCCTGCCAAGCAGAAAGGGATCAGATTTTTCTTGGTGGGAGTGGAATGTTTGTCTCGATGGCCTATGGCCTGGCCGCTGCCCGACCAATCGGCAGCCTCTATTGTGGATCCGTTTTTGCATGTATACGTGTTGGACAAGGGTGCACCCGAGCAGCTTCTCACGGATAAGGGCCGGAATTTTTCCTCTAAGCTGCTTAGAGGAAAAAAATTTGTGATGTGCTAGGCACTGATAAGAATCGGAGTTCCCCGTACCATCCCCAGATGGACAGGATGGTGGTTCGGCTGCATAAAATTCTGACAGCTATGCTCACTCATGCTGTTAGAGCAGCCCAAACAAAATGGGATCTGCATGTTCCAGGAGTGTTGGCTGCGTACTGAACGGCCCCCCCTCGCTTCCACTGGATTTTCGCCTTTTTCCTCATGTACAGGAGGGAGAGCGAACCTCCTTTGCGGATTCAATTGGGGTTGTTGAAACAAAAGGGAAAATATGTGTTTCCTGCACCCTTGGAAATCACTTTGGAACGTCTTTCGGCAGCCCGAGGAGCAACGAAAATAAACACCGCCAGGGTGCAGGCGGCTAGCGAACAGAATTCGGGAAGGAGGGACCACGAGTTGGGTGATCGGGTATGGTTGCGTTGGCCATAAGCGCCATTGGGAACGTCCCCCAAACCATATCGCCCATGGCAGGGTCCTGTGGAAGTGGTGGAAGTCAAACGGTCGCAGTGTGTGCGCATACGAGTTGGCCATCGCTGTTTGGTTGTTCATCCGTCACGGTTGAAGCCTTATATTCCTCCTCGGACTGACACCCCCATCCCCAGAACGGGTACGGCCGGTGTCTATTGTGTCCGACGAGCTGGGGGAACTGCATGTGGAGAGTGCGCGTCAGGGGGTCTGTGATGTGCCGTCCGCAGCTTCTGAAACCCTAGCCGACGGGGGCCGTGATCTCGCCGAGCGCGAGGCATCGCTGACCGAGGCGGAACCCGTGACACCTGCGAAACCAGGTGTGGGACCACCTTCCTTGGAAGTTCAGGCAGTGCCCAGATCTTCTGTCAGCATTGCGAAGATTGTCCCGATGGACGGACCGGCGGCGGAAACTTTGTCCGGATGTTGCTAAATTCAATTAAACCGATGATTGTGGGGTTTCGTGGGGATTGAGGCGGTTGCGTTGTGTGATTTACAAAAGGAATGTTTTTTTCCTCTCCCTCTCTGTTCCTTTTATTGTTCTCCTGCCTCCCTAAGTCATTCTTTAATCCCCCATTTTATTACTGATCACTCTGACCTACTCAAAAACACGTTGTGTTATGTTGTTCATGTTTTAGGTGTCATTTTGGGCTCCCTTGCATCTAGGTATTATTGGTAGCTGGGACGGCTATTTTTTCACCATAGGGGGGGCGGGGGGGGGGGATTGATCTAATGACAGGGTGACACCTGCCGGCCTGTAAGGGTCATTACGGTTATAGCTGCATTACATAATGCCTTATTGTGAAGGGGCGTATCTGGGGTAAAGGTTAATGTCGGTGTCAGTCGAGAAGCTCCGGGAACCATCCCAAAAGATCTAGTAGGTTCTAGAAAGGGGGCGTGGCCAGAGGTGAAGGTTGGCCATGCCAGGCGGATATAAGGAGCACCAAACCAGAGCTTCGGGGCTGCCACTGCTATTCAGTGGCCTAAAAAAAAAATGTTTCGCTCCGGATGACCGCTGCAAAGTATTATCTGTATTTTGATTTAGTGTGCTGATCTTAAAGGTGCATTGAAAAATGTGATACTCCGACTGATGCTCCTGTTGTTTGTGGAGTGACTCATGCAGCCAGCTGTGGCTCTAGGGTTTGGTGTTACATGTTATTTATGTAGTTTATTGTTACAGTTCCTATGATCACTGTTACATTGCATTTATGGCTTTATTTTGATGATTTCTTAAAGTTTTTTGGTTTGGCCATGTTTTTGTTTATTGTAGTACGGAGTTAGACTGATGGCCTTATTCTAAGTTTTCTTGTTGTTGTTGTTGTTGCTTGACTTGCATCCCACTGGGAATTTTTGCACACAGCGTTGGTGTACGGTGCTATTTCAGGAATATTTTGATGTTTTTTTTCCTGGATTTTCTGTTTCCACATGCACAAAGTCACTTTAAGATGTTTTCTTGTTCATGTTTTTGTTTTTTTGTTTGTTGCGGTTGCACCCGATTCAAGAGCCGAATGGCTCACAGGGCTATATCAAATAAATAAAAACTATGAAACTATGTTAGCATGGGGTCTGGGTCCTATTGCGTCGCTGTTTGCCGTCATCTTCATCTTCGACCACGTGGCTGTTCTTCTGCAATACCCGCTCCATCTTCGCCGCAACGCTCGTCAACCAGCCAGAGTAGCGCAGGACGGAGAGGGACTGTGTTTAGAGCAGCCTGGGTGTAGTCGCGTTACGGAGTGTATCGCCCTGTGTGCTCTTAATAAATTAGAAGCCTTCTACTAGACGTGTGTCGGAAGTCGCTGACTACACATACATACATGTCCCAACGTCTAGATTAAAAAGCGTTAGATTTATACAATAGTCCACAAGTTACGCATCTGCAGACTAAAAAGAAAAACAAAACCAGATGTTGGCGATGAGAATCGTCAAATCAGACCTTGGAGGTCAGGTATCAGATGTGCAAATGCCGTGGAGATGTAGCAGAATCAAGCAATTAATATCGAGGTGTGGTTACATGAATGAAATAGGCCAGTATGACGTCTTAACCTTGACCTCTGAGCCCAAGATTGTGTGCAGGGTGTGGGATTAGCGTTATGTACATACTCTTTGGTTCTTTCGGTAAAGTCACGTAGGTATAAAATAAAATAAATCACGACGTTTCGGGCACAACACAAGCGTCCGTCATCAGGTGGGAAAGCATGGCCTGCTGCTGATGCAGACTGTTTTAAAGGTTTGTAGACACCAGGGTACAGCATGGCAGAAATCACATCCTTTACAGATGGGATTATATCACGGATTTTGTATACTGTGTTGAAACGAACCTGGATCCTGTGTTTGTTCAAGATTTTGGAAATATTTTTGGTAACGCCAGCTATGTATGACAAAGTGATGGTTTTGGTTATGTACATGTTACCCACACCACCACACTGGGTCCTACTCATTTGAGGCTGAGTTTATTAAAATCAGGTCCAGTAAGGCTCCCATACCAAATTGCACTTGTACGGTGCCTAGTAGCTAGGAACCAAACCTCAATCACTATGAGTGAAACACATTGTGCTATAACCACCGTGCAGACGCTACCCACGCATTACAATAACTGTCGCTTGCCACTGAGTGGCCGTGACAACATTATGGTGATTGTGCCAGACTAGGTACACTTTTAGCCCAAGTGTTGAAAGCTGCCTGACAAGTCACAGGGCAGACCTAGGTGTTATGGGTTCAGATGACTGGTGGTTGCACCAACTCTGTGTTTTATCCTGCCAGTGCTCTGCTCACTCTTTTAAGTGGTGTTCATCTGCCTCCTCCTATTGCTGGACGGTAGTTTTATGCCAACTGCCCAGCAGCATCTTTAATGAGCCTCCAGAACAGAGGCCAACCTTGACATTCTGGTACCAGTCATAGGTAAGTTCACTCAGCTCCAAATCATTCTGTACCATCTCAGGCTATCTGAATTCTGCACAGCAACCTTAATCCCCGACTGGTAAACTAATGCACCAGGTCACTCTTGCAAATTAGACTATCCTGGTCTCTTGAGTTCTCACCTGGTGAAATAAAATGCGCACGAAACTGGAGGATGTCTGATGAGGTCTAGATTGGGTACCCAATTCAACTGTTACAGCTGCAATTGTCGCAGTCCTGAACCATACGTATTCCCCCCTCGGCATGATGAGGAGGGGGGGGAGGTTAAAAACCAACATCAGCTGTAAATGATGATCACATTTAGACATGCTACTTTCTACAGCTAGCTTAGGGATGAGGCGATTGTGATTTTCAATGTGGATGCTCACTCCCACAGTGGAGAATGGCAGATGCAAACCGTGTCAACCCTTACGGTTTTACCTATATTCTTGTACAGGGAAATTGAGTTTTTAGGTCTATACGGCGCACAGCCCTTTCAATACGGGCAAACAAAAATTATGTCTTTGTTTGTGTTTCTCCCTTGTGATGTGACTTTGTAGGATGAACGTTGATATTTATAAGGGCACGGGGTGACCTGTAAGTTCTGAATTAGTCGGTAATAAGGTAGGCACTGATAAGTGGTTGACAGGTATGCAGATGCATCTTACAGATGGCAAGCTGATAGTCAGCTCCAGAGTAGGTGATGGTCTCAAAGATATGAAGTTGCATTCGCTTTTCTACAACGACTAAGTCCAGCAGATATTCCTGCTTGGATCCTACGCATACCCATGATGTTGTGTGGACGCACTTATTGTTCATTGTTGTAGTGCCGATCTGGTTCATGAATTAAAATTACTCCTGTCCAAATGCAACTATCATAAATCACTCGAGCATTAAAGTTAACCCATGAGTGACTATCCCAGGAGACAATTTTCAACAACACCTGGTGGAGGCAAACACCGCCACTTCATCTTCTCCCGTCGATAGGAAGGTGATCCCACAATAACTTGGGACTATGCCTCTCTAAATAAAATTAACGCGAACCGCCTGCATGTTCAGAGATTCAGCGATGGACGGGAAGCCACCCTGCAAGTTGCAGACGTCTTGGATATGGCAAAGGGTTAATGCTTGTGCAACTAAAGAGGAAAAGGTGGATATGTCACGATGCAAATACTATATGGCCCCCAGTGCACGACTTGGACTGTGCCAGGGAGAGTCTCCCAATTAGCAAGGTAGCATTGCCATCACAGCTCTAAAGAGTGCGGTTGAACTACTTTTTATGGTGCATCTGGGTGATTCTGATGTATGGCAGCATTGTCCTGGTGTGTAATTATGTTTTTTGTATATAAAGTGTGTCAGTGATCAACAAGCACCGAGTGGTGCCCATTTCCCTTAAAGGCCCTGTGTCGTGTATTAATGACTTAGTAATTTTCTGATGCAATGATGTTCTTAAATACAGTGCCATATATTTTTCACAAAATATTTACGGTACCTTTTTTTCAGAAAGTAAACTTTTCCGAAAATAATTTATGGTAAAGCAGCATTTCATAATTTCTTGTTACAGTTTTAATGTTTAAGAGGCTTGTTGTTTATGTACAATTAACTGAATAGAATTGTGTAAGAACTATTGACGTTCAGGGTTATTTTGCTGAGAATGAAGTGTTACGTATTTCATATCGTGTGTGTGTGTGCGTGTGTTCCACGTTGTGTGTGTGTGGCCACTGGTGGTGTAGCGGTTAGTGTGCTGCGTTACGAACCCAGCAACCCGAGTTTGATTCCCACTCGCGGCCAATACACTAGTGAAGATTCTAGAAACCGGTGAGGTGTGTAAACATCAGCGTGAGGGAGACAAAGGCGGCTGTGCGTGGTGCTGGTCACTCACCCCATCCTGTGCTGTTCTGGTCTTCATAGGTGCTCGCTAACAGAAATTAGCTTCTTGCCCTTCCCCCGCACCTTCGATTAGTATGGTTGGCTACGTATGGTGCAAAAAGAAGGTCTACATAATACTTTCCCCAAAAGTCTCTTAAGGCTATACAGGGGATCTTTGTCATAGTATTATATTCACATCTTCAAAACTTTAATAAATAGATACACAGGTATATCTTGTACATAACAAAGGTGAGTCATTTTGTGTATGTGGTCAAATGATATAGTGGGAACTCTTGTGAAGCATCATAATGTACACAGTCCTATGGCAGGGATAATTCTTTCCAGAGGGCGACCACCAATGGCTTCCCACAAAGTGGTACATATTTTACCTACTCCAGAAGGGATTATATCTATCTCAGTTGAAAGACAACGTGATGCATAGAACTGGTCATTCTATGAAGAGCTTCACAATATTATTCGCAAAATCCCCAGCTCTGAACACATGTTTCTGTTGGGAGACTTCAATGCAAGGGTTGGGGCTGACCAGGACGCGTGG